TTCTGGCCATCTCTTCGAGACATCTATTTTTACGTTCCACCACTCCATTTTGTTGTGGTGTACGTGGGGCTGAGAAGTTATGATCAATGCCAAGTTCGTCACACAAATCTGAAAACAGATTTCGTTCGAACTCTCCCCCATGGTCGCTTCTTATGGCTACAATGGTTGTTTCTTTTTCATTTTGAACTTTCTTTAGAAAATTTTTGAAAACATGAAATGCTTCACTTTTATGAGTAAGAAACAAGGTCCATGTAAACCTAGAGTAGTCATCGACAATCACAAACGCAAAGTAATTGCCACCAAAACTTTTCGTTCTAGAAGGACCAAAGAGATCCACGTGCAACAGTTGAAGCGGTCTAGACGTTGAAACAACGTTCTTAGACTTAAACGAAGCCCAAACTTGCTTCCCCTTTTGACATGCATCACATATGGCGTCTTTTTCAAACTTAAGTTTTGGAATGCCAATTTCTAAGTCTTGTGAAACCAATTTGTTCAAAAGGTTCATGTTCATATGAGCTACCCTTCGGTGCCATAACCAAGTGTCTTCCTCTTTACTCATGAGGCACTTAGCAAAGTCGGAAGGAGATTTGTCTAAGTTAACCATATATATGTTATCGATTCTATCACCACGTAGAATGACCTTATTGTCACTAAGGCATTCTACCGTGCATGATTTTGAGTTGAAGGTCACACGGTTTCCCTTGTCACATAATTGACTTATGCTCAAGAGATTGTGTTTAAGACCTTTAACAAGCAAGACATTATCTATAGAGGAGTTTTCAGATTTATCTACTGAACCAATGCCGATAATCTTTCCCTTGCTATTATCTCCAAAAATCATGTTTCCTCCTTTAGCGGGTTTTATTTGGAGAAACTTGGATGCATCCCTGGTCATGTGCTTGGAGCATCTGCTATCAAGATATCAAAGTACACTTGATGTCTTCAAGCACACCTATGAAACCCATTAATGAGTTTTAGGTACCCAATTTACGTTGGGTCCTCGGGTGTTAGGTGTGTGATGGTAGTGTGCTTGATTTTGTGATAGGTGCCTATGCCTAGTGTAGCAAACGGGAGCAATATGGCCTATCCTATTAAAATAATGGCAAACTAAGTTGGGGTTGTACATGTGCCTAAGTTCATAATAGTTAGAGGGTTTAACCATGTTGTTCCTATTTTGTGAAAACAATGGTTTTTGACAATTTTGAAACTGGCCTTTTCTAGGTGTTCTAGCATTATTTCTCCTGATTTGAGAAAATTCGTTTTTTAACACAAAATCATTTTTCTTAGGTTGTCTACCATGACCATTTTCATTCCTAGGTTTTAGTCTAGGTTGTCTAGTGTCCTTAGGTTGACTAGGTTTTCTATTATCTTGATTTTTAGGTTTCTTATGTTGAACCTTAGATGATTGTCTAGGTGGTGGCTCAACATTATCTTTAGCTTTATTTTTATTAAAACCTATTCCTTCCTTAGAAAAATGCATAGTGTCAAGAAGTAAATTTAAGTCTTTGTGAGGAGTGTTAAATTTCTTGACCGTGCTCTCAAGTTTAGCGACTTGCTCTTTTAAAGCTTTACAAGACTCAAATTCACTTGATGAGCTTTCTGGTTTGTCAGCGCTTCTTTTTCCAAAAAATTTGTTTTCTTGTTTAAGTATTTCATTTTCTTTTTCCAGTTTTTCAAAATCGTTTTCAAGTGTAGAAAGACGTTTCTTCAAAGATTTATTTGTTTTAGAATCGCTAACAAATTCCTCATAAAGTTCATGAAGTGCTTCTTGCATTTCTTCAAAAGTATAAGAGTCGGAAGAAATGGTACATACCTCTTGAACGTCGTCGGTTTGATCTTCGTGTGCCATGAGGCAGAGGTTGGCGGCTTCCTCCTCTTCTTGATCAGTTGACTCGTCGCCGGAGTCACCACCCCATGAGATATAGGCTCGTTGCTTTTTGAAGCCAGGTTTGTCCTTGCCGCGTTTGCCTTTTGGACACCTTGGCTTGATGTGGCCTATCTCGCCACAGCCATAGCACTTCGGGGGACTGTCGTGCTTTCTTCCTTTCCGTTTAAATTCCATCTTCATGAATTTGTGGAATTTCTTGATGACGAGTCCGAACTCGTTGTCGTCATCACTTGAGACTTCTTCCACAGTCTCCTTGGTTGCTTTGAGCGCTATTCCTTTCTTCTTTTGTTCATCCAAAGACGGGGTTAGGATAGTAGATTCATAAGTTTTGAGGTTACCTCTTAGCCCGTCGATGGTGACATTGGAGACTCCGATGGACTCGTAGATTGCGTCAGCCTTTGATCTCCATTCGGGTGTGAGACTCCGCAGGATTTTTCTCACGAGATCCTTGTTGGCGTAAGTCTTTTTGAGAGCATGAAGGTCGTTGATGATCTTTCAGAACCGGTCGAACATGTCATCGATTTTCTCTCCTTCTTTCATTCGGAACATTTCGTACTCTTGGGTGAGAAAATCGATCTTGGCTTCACGAACTTGATCGGTACCTTCGTACGTCACTTCAAGCTTGTCCCACATCTCCTTGGTTGTTGTGCAGCAGGAGATGTTTCAGTAGTCGTCGGGGTTGACCGCACAGTAAAGCATGTTGATAGCTTTTGCGTAGTTTTCAACCTTCTTGATGTCCTCAGCATCAAACTCGTCCTCGGTTTTTGGGACCGTGGTTTCTCCGACTTTCTTCATAGGGATTTGCTCTCCGTTTTTGATGACCAACCATAATTGGAAGTTGGTGGAACGGATATAGATTCTCATCCGTTCTTTCCAATAGGAGTAGTTGGTGCCATCAAAAAGTGGTGGCCTAGAAGTTGATTGACCTTCTCCAATTCCTGCATAGAGATTTCTAGAAGAAGAACCCATGATCGCTTTACTCTCAAACGGTTAAGTTTGGACGCGAGTTAGGCTCTGATACCACTTGTAGGACCTCAGGCGCTACCAATTCTTCTAAACCAATTGGTGTTAGAAGAGGCGCATACCCTAGCCTTATAGTGCATTCAACACACAAGCACCCACGACATTCGATTGTGACTTGGCCCACATAGCCTCCGCCACGGGAAAATTGCTGCACACATGGCCAACATGTTTATCACTTAATTTTGTTTCTCTCCCTTCATATGCACTATTTTGACGGAGGAGACTGGCTCAACATTGCTGATGGGGATGACATTTGAGGCTTCACTCATCGTTTGATGTTCCACAACTCATTGTTTGTTTGTGGCATGTTTTTTCCCACTGGCTGCTTTTGTTATTTGAACTTTATGCATAGTTATGAATGGCGTCCACCATGCCCGCCCATGACAGTTAAGGCATGGTGGCGAGCCTCTACCGCTTGGATTGGGCTGTACATGGCGATATCCTTGAGGCGCTAAAAAGCAATCGCCATTCTCGCAGTGGTTTATGGCGTTAGGCGAGCACCATTGTCGTCATATAGATCTGTATAACATTTGGATTAATTAAATTGGGCTTAGGCCCATTTGTAATTCAATGATTAGTTGGTTGATCTAGAAACTTAATCGATCGTATTCCCTTATCTTCATCGTTGATCCCCTCTTCCAAGTTCCAATCCACATGCAAAGTCGAAGTCCCACTCGCAAAAGTCGCAGGCCAACTTTCGATCACCTTCCAATCGTCGATCACCTCTTCCAATCAACCTGCGCAGTCAGTTGCACTAACAGAAGTTACAATCGCCGAAGTCACAACCCCGGCTCCAAGCGTTTTCCTTTTTCAGCGACCCAGGTCAAGGTATTTTTATTTTTAGTCCAATACTTACCATTACCAAAGTCGCATCCCAAGCTCCTAGAGTCTTAATTATTTTTTTTAATTTGTGTTTATTCAATTAATTATTATTAATAGTTACAAATTTTTTTTGTCCAATACTTACCATTATATTTTCAATTTCTATATTAATCTTTCAATTTAGAAAAATATTGATTTTTTCCTTTTAAAATATTATTATTATTTAGTGTGTATATATATATATATATATATAGATACATACATACATACATACATACATACATACATACATACAATATATAAAAATATAAGAACATATAAAGAATATATTTTTATAAATATATAAAAATATATATTCATTATTTATTTTTACCGATAATATATTTTTACAAATATATTCGGGAATTTCGAAAATATATATTTATATATATTTCGAAATTTGGGAATTTAAATATTCATCATTAAAATAATGAATATTTATTTTAATGATTTATTTTAGTCCAATGATTATTCCAAGACAAAAATAAATCATTTTACTAATTTTCGAGATTAACAAATAATTACCAAGTTAAAAATAATTTCCAACCGAAAAGGTTCTACGAAAAACTATAGTTTTGTACGTTGGCTCTGATACCACTGAAAGGTAACCACGGTTGGGAGGGCAGCAAAAAACAAAAATTTAATCTCCCAATAGTGATTACTATCCCAAGAACACGTACTAAAATTATAGCTAGAGATAGAAACTTATACCTTCTCCGGTAAAGCGGTATGAACGAGAAGTCGAGCAAAAGATGTTGAAGGAGCAAACGTAGCCGTTCAAGCGCCCGGCCTCCAACTTTGACACACGAACAATCTCTGGAGTCTACTATAATCTTTATGCTAGTAAAGATTATAATAGTATATTTAATATAAAGATTTAAGAGGGATAATATTAATCTTGTATATTAAAAAGTAGAAAATATATCAATAATATTTTAAAGAAAATATTATAATAATTTTCTACACCCAAACTTGAGGGCGGATTTATTTAATGAGAGTGCCATCCACCAGCTTTGCAAGCCCATTGGGAGGTGTTTGAAAGTGGACGTAGCTACGTCCAATTTCTCACGTCCCAATGTGGCTAAGGCTAGGGTGGAGATTGATTTGTTGAAGCCTAGGGTTGAACAGATATGGATTGGTTTCTCTGATGCACCTGGCGAGGAGGATGTGGGCATGTTCCAGCCTGTGGAATATGAACGCATTCCAAAGTACTGCACGGCTTGTTTTAAACAAGGCCACGACAATTCTTCGTGCAATACTTTGACTCCTAGTCAGCCTGAACAGCGGACTGTTGTTGTTGTTCCCCAACCTTCCACGACTGCACCCACGACTACACAACCTTCTCGACGGAGGCGGAGTAGGAGCTGGGTCAGGCGTCAAAGGGAGGGGAAAGGTATTGCTATTGATGATGCAGGTACAGGTGCAGGTGGCTCCCATCGTGGATGTCGATGGTTTAGGTAAGGGGGAGGGGCCCTCATCCAGCTTGCAGGTCTTTGTGCCCACCTCCTCGCATCCCTCCCCGAATGTTGTTATCCCTGATGTTAGTTTGGTCCCTTCTACTGTTAACGCCACTACTCCCACACCTGTTGTGGTTGAACAGTCGGCGTCTCAGACTGTTGAGCCATCCGTTCCTCCTACCGGAGTTGAGTAGGGCTCTGTTGTTGTTCCTCTTCCTCTCTCTACTTCTTCCTCTCCTCCTATTGTACATATTCCTGATCCTCAACCTCCAGAGCTGGTTCTTGCTATGTCTAATACGTTTGATGCTTTGGGGGATATGCCTGTGGACAGTCATGAGGTCTGCGGTTTAAATAATGCTGCATCTTCCATTCCTTCCAATTCGGTAAGGAGGGAGGATGACGAGTGTAGCTCACAGACTAGTGACGGGTCCACTGGTGATCATTTTGAGGATCCTACTGACATTGCCCGGGATCTTGCAGCGCGTGGCCTTTCCCGTGCAAGGCAGGCTCCGACTACTAAGGGAAAGACGGCCAAGAACGCCCGAAAAGCAACAGAGCATAAGACGGGGATTCCTGCTCCACGCAGAGTAACCCGTTCCACTTCTTCGCGTTCCCAATGATGATGCGGTTCCTTGTTTGGAACGTGAGGAGCATCACCTCACAGGATGTCCTTTCTAAGCTTCGAATTTTACTGAAACTGCACACTCCAGTGTTGTTAGGTATCTTGGAGCCTATGAAGGCACCCTCGCAGATTGACTATTATAGGACGCTGTTGGGTTTCACGGGAGCTAAGTGTGGTGCTAATGACCAAATCTGGCTCTTTTGGAACTTTGACATTGCACCGTCCATCCATTTTATCTCCCATTTTGCACAGTCACTAACCTTTTCCTTTTCTCACCCTTCTTTTCCTAACCCTCTTTGGTTGTCAGTGGTTTATGCAAAATGTAAGTACAGGGACAGGGAGCCATTGTGGGAATATCTTAGAGAGACACACGCCGCTCTCCCGGCTGACATGGCATGGGGGTGGTGGGTGATTTCAACTGTCTGCTCGATCCCTCGGAGAAGAAAGGAGGCCGGCCGTATGCTCCAGTCAAATATCGGCCTTTTGTTGAATGTGTGGAGGATTGTGAACTGGTTGATTCTCCTTTTATTGGGGAGGATTATACCTGGTTCAACAACCGAGTGGGCGGCGTGGAGATTCGGAGCCGGATTGACTGATTGCTGTTTAACCAGCCGTGGATGGATATGTTCTCTTGTTTGGTGCATCACTTGGATAGAGTTGGATCTGATCATGCTCCTCTGTTGGTGGAGTGTAAGTCTCATGAACGTCCTCCTGCACGGCCTTTCACTTTCCTTAATGTCTGGACAGAGCACGAGGATTTTCAAAGAGTGGTGGCTGATTCTTGGCGGGAGGACATTACTGGCAGTCCAATGTTCGTATTTGGTGCTAAGCTCAAGCGTCTGGAACATAGCTTGAAGAGATGGAACTGAGACACCTTCGGTCACATCTTTGATAGGCTTAAGGTGCTTGAGCAGGATGTTCGGGATATTGAGCTACAGCTGCAGACAGATTCATCAGATGAGACTTATATCGAGTTCAAGCGGCGCTCTGCACTTTTGAAGCACCAGTATCGTATCGAGGATGATTTTTGGCGGCAGAAAGCCCATGCGAAATGGGTGACGGACGGGGAGAGGAATTCAGGGTACTTTCACTCTGTTGTGAAGAATCGCCGGCGGAAGCTTTACATTCACCGCATACAGGATGATCATGGGCAATGGGTCACGGAGAGAGCCGCGATTGCGACGCAGGCGATCACCTTTTTTCAGGCCATGTTCACAGCAGATCCTAGTGTCACAGCTTCGGCCTTAGATATGATTCCACGACTGGTCATTGATGATGATAATGCCCATCAATGTGCTGTTCCGGAGATGGAGGAGGTCAAGACTGCGGTATTTGCTATGGATTCTAGGAGTGCAGCGGGACCTGATGGCTTTACTGGGGCATTTTATAAGGCCGCTTGGACGATCATTTGCATGGACTTATTGGCAATGGTGCAGGCTTTTTTCTTAGGCCACGATCTGACTCGTTCTCTCACGCATACTTCTATTGTTTTGTTGCCCAAGAAGCCCAATCCTGTGACCTTTGCGGACTTTAGACCCATCAGTTTGTGTAATTACTGCAAGAAGATCATCACGAAGATTATGGTGGTTTGCTTGGCTTCTGTGCTTCCTCGGTTGCTCTCCCCACATCAGAGTGGGTTTGTGGCGGGGCGCTCTATCACTGATAATATTCTTTTAGCTCAGGAGATGTGTCACGGGATGCGGGTGGATAATGAAGATGTCATTCTGAAGCTTGAAATGATGAAGGCCTATGATCGAGTCTCCTTGTATTTCTTGATGTCAGTACTGCGCCGATTTGGATTTTCGGAGACTTGGATCGATCTGGTCTATCGGGCCATCTCGAATATATGGTACTCAGTCATTATTAATGGGATTCGAGAGGGCTTTTTTCATTCGACGAGGGGCTGCAGCAGGGGGACCCACTCTCTCCGTCCTTGTTCATTCTTTCAGCGGAGGTCCTTTCTCGCTCTTTGGCTCAGCTGTATACAGATCTTACAGTTGCTCCGTTTACACAGCCCCGTGATGCACCACATATCCATCATCTTGCCTACGCCGACGACATTGTCATCTTCACTTCGGCGAGGGGGGACACTTTAGAGAGAGTTCGAGCAGTTTTACATTCCTATGAGCAGATTTCAGGCCAGGCTGTCAGCTTCCCTAAGGGTGCCTTCTATATGCACCCTAAGGCGTTGGCACCCGTGTTGGAGCGTGTTCGAGATACTCTCGGGTGTTCATTGGATGTGCTTCCATTCACTTATCTTGGATGTCCTATTTATCATGGTCGGAAGCGCATTCATTACTTTGAGCCTGTTCTGAAGAAGATGCGGGACAAGTGTTGTGCGTGGATGGGGCGCTATCTTTCTCCGGGGGGAAGGCTATTATGATTAAGAGTGTTCTGCAGGCGATCCCGACACACTTGCTCGCTGCGCACTTTCCTCCCAAGACAGTGATTCGAGAGATGGAGTCTATCATGACACGATTTTTTTGGTCTGGCTTGGGAGGGACTCGACGCTACCATTGGGGATCTTGGAAGACTCTGGCACGACCAACGAGGGAAGGTGGGGTCGGCTTCCTTGATTTTATGACTTTGGCTAAGTCTTGTTCGGCCAAGCTCTGGTGGAACTTTAGGACACAGGACACTATTTGGACGGCATTCATGAGGGCTAAGTACTGTAGCCGCGTCCATCCTGTGTCCAAGCAGCGTGTTAATGCTGATTCGCACACATGGAAGCGCATGCTAGATGTTCGAGCCGTGGTTGAGCCTGTGATTCGATGGCGTGTACTCTCTGGCACGTCTAACTTCTGGTGGGATACATGGTCTGGACTGGGTGCCTTGCATCGCCAGGTCGATGGCTGCAGTGGGTACTGGACTGATGGAGTGGGTGATATGTATCGCTCTGATTTTATGATTGACCATGATGCTCTACCCCCTGATTTATTACGGCAGTTGCGCCTTGAGCCGCCATCTCTTGTTTCTGATCATGTGGATATTCCGGTCTGGACCCCGTCTACGGATGGGAAGTTTACTCTTGCTTCTGC